GAAACAACTCACTTGATTTTCACACGGTAGAGCTTCTCAATGCCGAATTAGTTACACTTTCAGGCTTGTATTTTTACTTCTACTGTTCTATGTAGATTCTAACTTATAAATGCCAATGCAATGAATTGAAATGTAATCACATAAAGATTGACTTCTTTTCACATTGTGCCATGTTCACAGGGAAAACTCAGGAATTCCTTCCCAATAATCCCCTCTGTGGAGAAAGTGAAGGTTCCTTACCGCCAGGATTCTCACCTGGCCCTGGTCAGCTTGCTCACTACACACGTGGGCAATACGTTGTTACTGATTGTATATAAAGAGTTCTGCCCAGTGCTCTGGGCTGCTGCAAGGCTGCAAGGGCTGCAGGAGAGCAGAGACTGGAGTGGTGGCAGCACCGAGGACAGGGACTGAGAGGGCAGAGAGGCCCAGAGGCAGAGAACAGCTTGCTGCGTACAGACTCGCTCTGAGTGGATGGGATTCTAATGACTGACCTGCCACCGTGGGAATAAAGTTGGGTATAAACCCTTTCACCCCAGAAACATTCCATTGTCATTTTTTGGTCTCACTGAATCCATAGTGAATTGTCTGGGGCTGAAACTCATTGGCAAGACACCCTCTTTGCCCACATGCTTACAATATACAAATGAAGGCTTAAATTTAAGAAAAAGGTAAGGGCTAATGTTTTAAGAAATGTAATCCCAGGAAAAGTGAAGGGAAAAGGAGAGAGGCAGGAATGTTGGAAGCAAAGACAAGGTGCTTTACTCAGGTGGCTGCGGTGCCACAGGAGAAACAGCTGATCACTCAGCCACACGGGACACCTGTGCCGTGCGTACAGCAGCTCCCGCGACCCCTGCGCACAGCAGCCCCCTACCGCAGGCCATGCAGCAGCAGAGAGCATGCCCTCCCGGCCCTCGGTCAGTTCCTGGGTCCACTGGGCAGGGTCCGCCCCACTAGGAGTGCGCTCCTCACTCCCAGCCGTGTCACCCAGCATTCCAGACCTGCTCAGGGACGCCGCGTGGTGCTCCCTGTGCCCTGGCACCTCCCCCTCCCCCGGAAGCGGGGGGAGGAGCCAGAGCCTCAGGGGGCCCGTCGGGGCGGGCTGCCTGCGGGAGCCTCCGGGTCCCCCATCCTGGGAGGGCACAGACAGGCGCCCTCTAGCTGCCCGCGCTCACCCTGCGGGAGGGTGGGATCCCCGTGCTGCCCTCAGGTGGTGTGCAAGACGCCGCGGTTGGGAGGCGGCAGCGAAAGCTGGGGCTCTTTCCATGAACCAGCAGCCAAAGTGACCCATCCAGGTTTAACCCGGGAAGACACACCAGTGAACTGCCAACCCAACAGAGCACCCTGAAAAAACCCAATCCTGCCAGAAGTGGACACGGACGGCTGGAGCGCCCAGGATTTCTGGTATTGGGGTGTACAGCGCCGTCCACAACTCAGTGAGCAGAATAAAAAATCACAGTATTTACTAGTGGTGACCCCCAGCCATTTGTCTTCAGCTGAGATGAGTACAGAGAAGCGACAGTGAACATCAACTTAATCTATCCCCTGAGGTTGATGATTAAAGTTAGGCTGACCAGAACTAAGCCAAAATACACAGAAAAGGTTAAGATATTTCTAATGCCTGAAAGCAGTTATTTTGAGGAGAAAAAAAATCAAAATTACCTTTGATGTGTCAACATATTCCTGCACATGTAACAAGGAAAGAGCCTTCACTGAGGGAAAAGCCATGCTACGTGAGATGCCACCAGTTCTCAACTGTTTCAATGCATAAGAAAGTACTAATATCATAACTTTAATATGTACTTTTGTATAAGAAACTAGAAAATTGCAATTGGAAAATGATTACAAACATGCCTGTGTGTCAGTGTCAGAGTTAGGAATGAATCGGATTCTGGGTGCACGTGGTTTTCTAAGGCTATAATCAAGAGGTCCTGGAGCATATTAATATGATGACATTAAAGTGAACACATGTGGGTGTGCAAATATTTGGACAAGATTACTATTCCCTCTGTGTTTCTGCAAACCCTGTGGCACACAGCACAGCGATGTGCTCCTGGCTGTGTTCATCAGGTTTCAGATGTGAGGGGCGCTGCCCGGCCTCCGGCCTCCTCCCTGCCCGCCCAGGGAGCCCCTCTCTCAGGCCTGCACGGGCTGCCTGCTCCAAGCCGCAATAACTTCCTTAACAAAACCTGCCCAGAGATCAGCCCACCAGTCAGTCAAGAGCAGTCTTGTGCCTCTGTTAAATCCCCAGCCTGGAGGCCTGGAGGGATTATTGATCCACTGATTGATTTGATAAGCAACAGGATGTAATGGAAGGCACAATGGCTGTGGAGTTAAAAGATGTGGTTTAAAAGGCTTAGCATGAGACTTTCAGTGTGTGATGCTGGGAAGGTAATTGTACCTCTCTCCACACCAGCTTCCTTACTCAAATGGGGAATTCTAATATCCAATTAGAACGGAGAGCAAATTACTGTGGCCAAAGCCCAGAGTAAGAGTAGCTTAACCAAGGCACAAGCCGATTCCCTTCTGCCTATCAGGAGGATCCTAAGAGGCCTGAATCCAGCTGTGTGGCCTCCACAGGCCTGGCAGCTCCCGCTGCTCCCTTCTTACTGCTCGCCCATCACTGATGTCACACTCAGGGTGCAGCAGGGTGAGAGGTGGCCCCTGATCATATCCCTGGGCTCACATTCCCACCGATAGGAGGGAAAACTGAGGAGTGAAACCCCCGTCTCTCTAAGGGCACAGTGGTGGTGTGCTAGAGGCGGCCCATGCCAGCTCGTGAGAGCCAGGTGTTGGCTTTTCAGGGACTCTATGAGCTGGGTGTCAAACAGAGTCTTCATTAAAATTAAATGACAGAAACTCACAACAAATTACATTAAAAAGAAGGGCAGCAGAGACTCAAAACTCAACCCTTCCTGATTCTGTATCTCACTATTGTCTATGTTCTTATGTTATTTGCCCCTGTTGTTAATGCACAGAAACACCATGCAAGGAGAGGCTACTGCACATCTTGTCCGACAGCGGAGAAGCTCCATGTTGACAGCTGGAAATCAATCACGGCGGGTGTGTTCACACTACAGGAATTGGCAGACACTGCAATTCAGCATTTAGTGTATGTTTTGTTGATTGTCTAGACCAGCAGCTGGCAAACCAGACCATAACCTGTTCTGGTTCAGTCTTTCTACTGAAAGTGTTCTACATTTTAAAGTGCAGAAGAAAGGAAGAGAGGGGGGAAATAAGTTTCAGCGACTGACTGTATGTTTCTACAAAGCTTAAATATTCACTAGCAGGTCCTTGACAAGCAATGTTTCCCAAACCTGATGGGAGAAAATGTCAATAATGCAAATGTAACTGAAAAGCTCCCTTGCTGGCTGTCAGCCGGATGTCACCCTCAACTCGGACGCAGCCTCATTCCTTGTCACGTGGTCCCTCTGGCTTCAAAGCCAGCAGGGGAGAATCCCTCGTGTTAAATCCCTCCCACGCTTTGAACCTTCCCAGGAAGCTCCCGGTCCCTTTTAGGGCTCACCTGGATAGGTCAGGCGTGCTGGGGTGAACGGCCCTGGCAGTGAGCCGAGCCATGGAGTATGACCTAAGCATGAAGGGACAGCCGGCATAGTCGCAGGTCCCGCCCCCAGGCAGGAGGACGGAGCGCGCATGACCTTGTCCATGAGGGTCATCCTGGGATTCTTCCCACTGCAGGAGGAACCTCACAGTTTACGGCGCATCTACCTCTCACTTACATGATTGTTTTGAGACTCTAATGAGATTACGGACACACATTCACTAGAACACCTGATGCTTCTTTCAACAGTTACTGATTTGAGCTCCTTTTCAAATGAAAGCAGTATTTTAAGTATTGATGGCTAACAAGAGCCACAGGTGCAGAAGTGAAGCAACAACCGACGAGCTGTGTTTCTCACAAGCTCCACAGAAACACTTCGAACCCACGTGCATATAGATGATACACACAAAAAACTATCGCCATTTCAAGGCCCGGATGTCACCTCCACCCTATCTAGCAAGGTCAACACCCTTAGTCTTTGTTAAAAACAAGACAAACAGACCAGAGGGATCTGTTTAAGGTAGGCTACACATCACCAAACGGAGGCTTGACGACAGCTGCCGCTCTCCCACAAACGGAACCGTGAACCCCTCAGCCGGGAATCACCCCATCAGCTCTGGTGAGGCCCTCTGCCCGGCAGACCCCCGCCACCCCTACGGGAAAGGCACTTTGCAAAAACAGACCGGCTCGTTTGCCTGGTGGGGCGCCCTGTTCCCGCTCCTGCCGCCGGCGCAGGTCCCGCGTTTCGGGCCCCTCCTCAGAGCTCCCTTCTCTCTGCTGCACGGGGTGCTGCCCAATTCGAATCGATTTCTGCTCAAGTAAACTCTTAAAATGTTTGATAGGCCTCAGTTTATCTTTAAACAGTCCTGGTGCTGATCTGAGGGGAATCCAGGGCGACCCCGACAGCCCCAGGAGCAGCGAGCCCCCGGCGGACGTACCTGCTGAGCCCCAGAGCCCGCGGCGTCCTCGCTGCCTCTGCGGGTGGCCGGCAGGCCCCTCCTGCACCCTGGACCCCAGCCCACCAGCTTTTGCTTATGAGCTTCCAGCCTGTTTGAGCCTCGAGTCAGCTGGAGTCAGGTGGGTCTGACTCAAATAACGGACTGGTTCCGACTTAAGCTGGACCGGGGCCAGTATGAGGCCTCGAGTGAATAAAGTTTGTTTCCAGACTGAACAAGCAGGTTAAACTCATCGAAGATAATCTTGAATTACAGTGGCCACACTGGGGAACTTTTAACCTAGACAAGCTTATCCATGTATGAGGTGCCCTGGAGAAAAAGGGGTCTCAGCCAGGTGCTCACCATAAAGGGTGGAGGGAAAATTATTTTTCCTCCTCTATGGTTTTGGGTGAGCGGGATGAGACCCCCCAGGGTCACCCATTCACTCCAGAGTCACAGAAGACGGTGTCAAACGTTCATAAAAAAACAGAAGTAAAATCAATGGATCACTTAAGGATTAATTAGCAAAGGTTTATTGTGCAAGTACCAATGAAGATGGTTAGTTGCAAGTCAGCTCAGCTGGGTCATCTTCCTGAGAGACCCTGCCTTCCCCTAAAGGAAACTGACCTTATAACCAACCAGCCTTTTTCTCTAATATAACTGTCTTGCTCCCACTCTTCCCTATAAAATATAAAAGTCTTTCATTTTGCACAGCTCCTGGGAGCTCTTTTCTATCTGCGAGACAGGATGCGGCCCAGGGCACAAACCGTGGAATAAAGCCAATTATGACCCTTAAAATGTATTCAGTTGAATTTTGTTTTTAAACAAGACAAAGAGAAACCACCAAACAAACCTGCGTGTGGACAGAGCAAGAGAAACACTACAGCAGGTGGAACAGAAAGAATTCTGGACTCGAGGAAGGAAGACCTGGGCTTAAGTTCCTGTTCTGTCCTGGTTGTGGTTATGTCACCATCAGTTTCTTCTACTGACAAAAATACATGCTATTGATCAGGTAGAAGTACTGGGGTGATGACCACATGAGAATATGGAAAATTCTTCACAATAATAATGGTGGCTCCCACCAACGTAGCGCTCATGATGTGCCAAGCCTTGTTTTAAGCACTTCCTATATGTTATCAATTTAACACTCAAAAAAACCCTGTACATTACAGATGAGGCAACTGAGGCACAGAGAAGTTAAGTGACCTGCCTGAAGCGCGCAGGCTGAACTCGACCAGTGTGGATTCTGGGGGAAGTGGTCCGGCCCACCTGGAGTCTCAGGCAGGTGCTCGGCCACACCCCCTCCTACCACCCGACCCGCTGCTGGTCCGGCTGCGCTCTGTGCACCTGTCCTGCGGCCCCTCTGGGGATGTTCAGTCACTTTGCAGCTCACTTCTCTCAGGCACGCCCTTCAGCCTTTGGGCGACGCCGAGCTCCCCCAGGTCCACTCACATCTGAACCTGAAAGGTAAAGAAGCAGATTTCTGAGAATGAGGTATGGGAACTGAATACAAGCCCAGGGGACAGAGCAGGGGGGCGGGGAGAGGACAAAGAGCCACTGGAGGGAGAAAGTGCAGACATCACCCCTTTCAAGGAAAAGAGAAGCGGCCTGGCCCCAGAGGGCAGTTGAGCCGGGAGAACAAAGCCCACATCAAAAGCCAGGACGCAGTGTGGGAGGCCACCAGGGTGAGAACAGTCGTTTCCTTCTGGAGGCTCCTGGAGGCTGGGCAGGCTTCATTCTCCTTTATAGTCCTGAAATCCCTGGCCGAGGAGAGAGTGGAAACATCCCCCAAGAAGCGGTGCTGATTGGGTGGGGATGGAAAGACCAGGCATAGCCTGAGTGCACGCCTCATTCCCAAGGGCCTACCCACCCAAGGAAGACGCTCACTAAGAAGGCAGCGTTGGGCTGAGACCTAAGGACATCATGAACCAGCAAATTCAGCTCTGGGGAAAGACTGAGATTGAATGAGGAGGTGTGTGTTTCTTGGAGATTGAGGGTAGATTCTCAAGCCCAGCTTTCACATACTCAGGTAAATTACGACATCTGACATCTCAGGGACTTCTCGCTGGGAGCTCTGGGAGAGAGGAAGGAGCTATGGAAACTGAGCCCTGATTTACCACTTATTTTTATTATTTTTTTTCATTTTTAAGAATTTCAAATCTATGAAAAAGATCCATATAGTGAGCGAACCCCTGAACTGTTAGCTCTCCACCTCCACTTATCCTTGCCCCTCTCTGGATATACACATGCACACACTTCTCCTCTATCAGCTGACCCCAAAATAGTGGCAGACATCATGAAACTTAAAATCCCCCCCACAATAAGAATACTCTCTGACCAACCTAATTGCCAGTACCACTGCTAGAAAATCAGCAGTAGTTCCAGTGTCATCCAAACTTGACTGCACTCTTATTAAATTCCCAAACCCTCCACCCACCCCAAATGACAGCAGTTTTCCCCCAGCCTTGATCCAGGATCCAATCAAGGTTTATCAGTCCCCTTTTGTCTTTTTGGTCTCTTCCACTGGAGAAAAGCCTCCAATTCGGGAGGTAGGATAGCGGCCCCCAAAGATGTCCACGTCTTAATCCACAGAACTTGTGAACATGTGGCCAAAGGGACTTTGTGGACATGATTTGGCGAAGGATCTAGAGTTGGGGCATTTCCCTAAGTTATCTAATGTCTTGCAAGGGTCCTTAAATAGGGAGGCAAGAGCGTCAGAGACGGAGGAGACGTGACGACGGAAGCAGCGTGATGAGAGTCAGGGATTTAAGGCAACCCTGAGAAGCTAGGAAAGGAAGGAATAGATCCTCCCCAAGAGCACCCAGAAGGAACACAGCTCCGACCACACCTTGATTTTAGTCCTCTAGAACTGGAAGGTAACGTGTTATATGTTTAGCCACCAAGTTTGTGGTAATTTGTTCCCACAGCAACAGGGAACCTGATATATCCAGGCCAGTTGTCCTGTGGAACTTGTCATAGGATTTAAGGCAACCCTGAGAAGCTAGGAAAGGAAGGAATAGATCCTCCCCAAGAGCACCCAGAAGGAACACAGCTCCGACCACACCTTGATTTTAGTCCTCTAGAACTGGAAGGTAACGTGTTATATGTTTAGCCACCAAGTTTGTGGTAATTTGTTCCCACAGCAACAGGGAACCTGATATATCCAGGCCAGTTGTCCTGTGGAACTTGTCATTGTGGCTGTTTCCTATTGACTACATTTAGGTTAAACATTTTCATCAAGACCCCCGCATGAATGATGTGGTGTACCTCCCACTCATTGCACCAAGAGGAAGATAAGCTCAAAGTCTCCCATGACTGGTAACGCTAAACTTGGCCCCTGGTTCAGATGGTAGCCCTCCCATCTTGAAACTGTAAATCACAGCCCCCTCCAGGGTTAACAAAACGTGGGATAAAACTTTAAGAGCATGGGATTCTCCTGCTCCTCCACAGCCACTCAGCGGGTTTGGTGGCACGACAGTCGTGTAAAAGGCATTCTGGAAGCCTGGGTATTTTGTAGTAGACACACTTTGAGCCTCCGGCTAAGGGCATTAGAAGAAACTTTATACTAATCTAGGTGCTCAGGGGATAAAACCAATGTTTTTGCCTGAGCAAGCAAGGAAATCTGGTTACACAGAAATTGTGTCCTTCAAATCCACTAAAATGTGTTCTGAAATGCAACACTATACAATTGGTTCATCTACAAGTTGAGATATGTACACAGAGACGGGCTCAGGGTGCAGATTATTGTGTATGGGCTCCGAGTACATGTCCACCATGCCCATGTCTATGGGAGTCAGCGCCCGTTTGAGAAGCTACTGTTCTGTTCGTCAATGCTGAGCTCATGGCGACAAGGGACTGAGCCAGATCAAGATGCCGGTGGACCAGGAACTCTGTGGCCTGCAATAACAGCTACAAAGGGGCCAGAAGCACGGCAGATGGCCCACTCCCCTTCAGTACCCTCTCATAAAACAGCACTGGCCAGCAGGAACATAATGTGAGCCACATATGGAATCATGAATTTTCTACTAGCCACATTAAAAGAACTAAAGAAACACAAGGCAAAATTAACTTTTTAAATTTAGGTCAATATATTCATTAAATATTAGAACTATTCACAAAATAGCATTTAAACATGTAATCAGTATGAAAGTTATTAATAATCTATTTAATTATTTTCTTGCTCCCAGTCTTTGAAATCTGGTGTGTGTTCTGTCCTTGGGGCACGTCTCATTTGGGACAAGCTGCACGGCAAGTGCTCAGCAGGCCACAGGTGGCTGGTAGCTGTCAGACTGGGCAGTGCCATCTGATCTACAACTCCATCTCTGAAAAGTGCAGTTCTCACATGCTGTTCAACATCCTAAATTATCAGTCTCCTGTCTTTTTTTCCTCCCCTTCCAAACTCACAATCCCAACATATTAAGGTTGAAAAGGCCAAAAGAAAAATTGCCTGACCAGAGTGCTGTTTGATCCCTTCCTAGGAATATATTTGACAATTGCACTGAACTAAAAAGCAGGTGAGAAAGGGAAATGCATGAGAATGAAGCAGCAGCCATCCAACCTATATAAGCTTTTGGAATATGCCCCACATTTGCACTGGCTACATGGGGTCCCTGGCTTCCTCAGCAAAGTAGAAGCTCCAGGAATATGGAATAAACCAATACTGATTTTAGGCAGAAAAAGGGAAAGAGCTGAGAATAAGAACTATCAGCCAGGGAAACAATTAACAATTAATCTGTAGCCTTCAAATCCAAGGAATTTCAGTGGTATTTCACACTTCTACAAAAATATACAACCAGTAACTGGAAGGATCGTCTATTTCGTTTTTGTTCTTCAGGCCTTTTACTTGAACCAAGGGAGATAAGTAGGTTTGGCAGTTTCTGCTCTCAGAAGTCAGTCTGGGGGAGTCCTGTGCACCAGTCATCTCCTTGTACTGTACTGCATCCACATGAGGGGCAACTGAGCTTATCCAGGGGTTCAGGAGGAGCAAGGAGTTGGCTAGGTTTCTAATAATTTCTGTGCAGCTAGTATCACCATTTTGCAAATTTGGTAATTGCATTTTAGAGACATGAAGCAATGTGCTGAAGTTATTCAGCCAGTGAACAGGATTTGAACCCTAGGAGGAATGTGGCAAGTCAGCAGAATATCCAGGCTGTCCCCGTGTGTGTGACAGAGAGGATGGTGGAGACACTGAAGTTCCCTAAAGATCCCTGGAGGTTGGCCTAAGGCAGGTAGGTGGTGTCCAGTGGGGCAGTGAATCAGGAGCCAGGCCTGTGGTCAGCTGGGCCTGCTGTGAGCCGTGGTACAGAGATTAAAGCTTCTGGGCCTTATCTGTGGACCTGGGCTAATAGCAAGACCCAACATTTATTGTGGGCTTCCTGTACACATTCACTGCCTCAAATTTCTTTATCTCTAGATTGGGAATAATAAGAGTAGTAAAGAGAATAATAAACAATAGGTCCCATTTATTGAGCATTTAATTGCACAAAAATATTTAAGAAATGCACACACCTTGGTGTTCCTCATCTGTAGCCTGGGAATAATAATTAGTAATAATAAAATATAAAACCATTTCTTAAACACTTAATAGATTACAAGCCCCTGTTCTAAGTGATTCACATACCTGTTTCCCTCACTGATGAATTGGGAACATTAATGAATCCTCACAAGTGGCAGCTAACATGTTCTGAGGTTCGCTGCGTGCCAGGTCCTGCCTCAGAACACTACACAGACCAGACAGACGAGGCCAACTTGACTGGGCGCCCAGCAATTCTCCAATGTTATCTCCCCTCCCTCTGTTCCACCACACTGGGCCCCTCTAGATGCTCTTCAAACACAACTACGCTCAGGCCCACCTCAGCCTTTGCATGAGCCATTCCCTCAGCTGGGTACCCTTTCCCAGATGCCCACATGGCTCACTCCCTCACCTGCCCCCTCACCTCCCTGCTCAGAGATGGTTCCTTCTGGGCCCTTCCCTGACCAGGCCATTTAAAATCCAGGGCCTATCCTAGTGCCTGACACACATAAGTCAACCAGCAAATGTTTTATGAATACATGCTTAGAGAATGGCAGCAGTCTGTGTAAGGTTTGGAACTGGGTCCCTCGGCCAGCCTCCTTAGAGCAGACAGACTTAGGAAAGGGCACCCCACATGAGGACACCCGGGCATGACAAAGTGCTTGAAGAAGGGTACAAAGGCTGCTCCGTGACTAGAACCGAACCTGGGGGAATGGGGAGGGGTCAGGGTAGGCAGGCAGGTCCATGTCCGAGGTGGCGGGAACCCATGAGGAATGCAGGGCCGCTGAACAGCAGGAGGCCGACACGAACCTGGCATGGATTTTTAACACGTTCACTCTAGCCGCTGTTGATAAAACAGGAGATTCAGGAATCCAGGATGAGGCCGTGGAGACGGGGTAGCCTTGACACCCACCCATTTGTGCACTGGGCTTCTCAAGAGCACCTGAGCCTCTGGGTGAGCAACCAGCAGGGGCCGGTGGGCGGAGCCCGGTCGAGGCCCCGCCCAGAGAGCCTGAATCCTCCCCCCTCCCCAGGGAGCAAGGGCCCCGCGCCCACCCCACCGACTCCTGGGGCTCAGACTCCGCCGGGCGGCGGAGGCCGGACACAAACACGAGGCAGCCTCCTCTCACCAAGAGCCCCTTCCCTGGGTCACTCCCCTTTCTAGAAATAATAATTGCCAACAGTTTGGTGAAGACACTCAGATCTTTTAGCAAATGTATTTTTTTTTACTTTCTTACCCAAACAACATTCTAAAAACATGCAAACACTACAGAAGTATGTGAAGTTAAAAATGAAACTTCCTTTTCTCTCTTTGGCCCTAAATCTTACTTCCTTTCTTTGATATAACCAATAATAATAGGTTGGTAAGTCTCCTGTTGAGACTTTTTAATTTTTAAATACTCTCAATATTTGGTAATGAAACAAAAAAAATCAGAGCACTTTAATACAAAGGAAGGTATTTGTGATTATTTTTTCTAATATTTCATTATAAAAATTTCTAAACATACATGAGTGTAGAGAGGATACATGATGAACTCTGACTTACTCACTGCCAAAATCTGACAGTAATATTCATCCATATCTGCTTCTGTGCTGAAGTATTTCTAAGCAGCCCCAGGCTTCAGGACATTTCATTCCCAGTTACTTTCCTAATAGTCTCAACTACCTGAGGACATTTTCTTAAATGATTCTAATGCTATATTCACACAGACAAGATTAACAATCATCACATAATATCAAAAAACCAGAACATACCTTTTCCCTTGATTGTCCCCACATGTCTTTTATAGCCAGCTTTTGCAACTGTTTTGCAAAAGCTCTTTATGTGGTTTTTCCTCTCTACTGCATTTCTAGACCTACTCATGGGGTAAGATCTCGGGAGATCAGTAACTCTTTTAAATAATCCAACTAACATCTTGATAAAAATTCTTAAAAATCCATGTTACAAAACAGCCTGTAGAGTATGCGCCTTTTTAATTATTTTGCAATCATCTGAAATGATGCTCCTACTTGCCCTTGTATCAGATTTGCCATTTGCGAGCATTTCTGTGCCATAAATTGCAGGCTTCATGGCCCATTATTTTTCAATACTCCAGTGGGTATTTCCTATACACAGGGGACTCTACCAGGTAACCACAGTATAACCATTAAAACCAGGATATCACTACTGATCAATATGAATACATGATCCTCAAGTGCCATTCAGAATTTTTCCTTTCCCTTATATATTTTTAAATATACAGTACTACTTGCATTTTCCTAAAATAAAAAAAAAACAGTATCAAAAGTGCTCTACCTTTGCACACCCCCAAAATCTAAGTCCCTTATTGAGACTCATTAGTTAGGCCTTCAGCCTTCAGACATTTTTCTGTGCAACACACACAGGCCTGCACTTACACTGCCCCCTTCTTTTTTTTTTAAAGTTTTACCTTGCTTTTCACTCATAAAAATATAATCTCTTTGGAAGCTCATTCTGTATCAATAAATCATGGACTTGTCCTTTTAAAAATTAATTTTTAATTATTTCAAATAAAATTGGAATTTTTTCTGCCACTTAAAAAAGAAATGTCCTCCACACAAGCATTCCACATTATGCATGCAAATATCTATACACCCACAATTAGCCATTTCCCTGATTACTCCTTGTCTTTTGCTTCCATCAACGATACTCCGGTGACCATTCCAGGACCAGACATCTGTGTTTACTCCTATGACTACCAAGCATGGTGACTGAAGTTATGGAATAGCATTTCAGATGCTAAAAATATTCTGCCAAAGGGCTCCTAGCAAAGCCTTTACTGGTCAGTTCTCCCAGTGAGGCAAGACACGGCCCGTTTCTCCTGAGTAATCAATACTAGACTATACTCCTCTTATTTTAAAGCCAATTTTGATGGACTAGAGATAATGGTAACTTGATAGGCTTTTCAATTTTCTCCACTGCTGGCAAAGTTGATTATAACTTTAATTTTGACTAACTTGCAAGCTTGATACTAACACTGCTTTTCAGCACAGTAGCAGCTAGTTAAGTGCTTAATAAATGAGATCTATTTATATCTGTCTTATTTCTGTGTCCTTTGTTGAAAGCTGGTATTGCACGTGTGGCCTTAATCTACGAGCATTCTCCATCTTAAAGTTGGTCCATTTTTCATACGATAACTTACTGAGCACCTACTCTATGCCAAGCAGGCATTGTTTTAAGTGCTGGGGAAACAGCAATAAATAGTCTATTCTCATGGAGCTCTCATCCTAGGGTAGAAAACAAATAAGCAAATGATCATAATTATTGGTGATGTTTGCCTAGATAGGTCTGGAAAGAGGCAATTGAACGTATTTATTAATATAGCGGTTTGAAGAGTGTGCGATAGATGGAAGGAGGATGGAAAGTCGACAACTGTTGAAACAGTGATGGATCCATGGGCCTTCCTCATGTTATTTTCTGTACATTCTGAGAATGTGTACGGCATAGTGGGGGATCATTGTCTTGGGAGATCTTTTAGTTTGACTGTAATTTCCAAACGTCTCTAGGACATTTTTCTCCCTATCACTAGGATGTGGGGTGTCATCATCCACAAAATGCCCCGGGGAAAAGCAGCTGTCTGCGGGGGAGGCCATTCTCCAGGAAGACTGCCGGGTCCGTGGGCGATGCGGTACGGGGTGGGGGCGCAGCGATGACAGCGGCAGTCCCTGCGGATTTGTGGATGTGGCGGCAGCCGAGCGATTTCTGTGGGAATATCCACCTCCTTTTTTGTTTGAAGTGATGTATACTGATGCATTTTGCCTATTTTCTCTAAAATACCTACTATATCCAATAAAGTTGGCAAATCAATCTACATGATGAGCATATGCATCTTTCTCCACTTTGTCTTAATAAAAGGCTTAAACTTTTACCTTTTCTTACTACTGCTATCAACATTTCGTTACTGTAAAGGGACGAAGGCTCCCCCCTCACCTGCCCTTACTACCTTCAGCCTCCTCCGCAATTTCTGGCGGTTCCGGTTTCCCCGCCATTTTCCAACGTGCCTCTTTGTGCACATGCACCTTAAACAATTGGTTTAAAATGCGAGGGCAGAAGGCTGTGCAGAGAGCATGCCTGCAGCGTGCGTCCCCACAGCGGTTGACCAGCGTGAGGAGCAGAGGGGTTTCCTCCCAGCAAGTGGAGCGCCCCGGGCCCTGACAGCTAGGGCACAGAGCGCATGCGCACACCACGAGGCCATGACCCAGGATGGCACGACCCAAGGCCAGAGCCAGGGTCCCGGTGGGACGGCGCTTGCGTGTTGTCCCTCTCCAGGTTGCTTGTGCTGTCACTGTGGGACAAGTGTGCAGGTGCTGTGTGTGATACGCACGCATTCGAGTCTTTCTGTTCACAGATCCTCATTTAACAGCCTGTGAGAGCTTAGTCATCTATTTCATAGATGAGAAGAATGATACTTAAAAGCCAAGGGCACCCCTACTTAAAAACTCGTCCTCAGCCACCATGTGCGGTCGAGTGCTTTGCTCGGGGTCACACGGACAGGTGAGGCCCTGGAGGCCACCACCTCACTGACAGCGGCCAGCACTGATGGGGCTTTTCTGACAGGGAAGAGATCAAGTACACGAACGATGGGGGAGCGTCCTAGTGGGGGTTGGTTTTAGGCCTCTTATGTACAGATCTTTCTTTAAAATATCCTCAGGCTGGGTCCAGGCCACAGGCTGTCTTCCATTCCCAGTTCTGGACCTGGGCCACACAAAGAGACCTTGGCCAGCCCTGGACATGCAGGGCTAAGACCCCACTGAGGGGGCAGACTCCTGATGCAGGACAGAGGGTGTGGTGCCCAGGATGGCAGGAGACAGCACCAGGCAAAGGCTGCAGCATCAGAGGAAGGGGAAGACGGAGGCCTGAGTACTTCCCCAGATGTGAAGGTGGCTGCGGGGGCTGAGGAAACAGGGTGTACAGTCACCCTGCCACCATTTCTGGGCAGGCCCATTGGTGGGCAGGCCCTCTGATCTTGCCCACTGCCCAAGGAGACAGGGACCAGCCACAGACACCACCTCCAACCCCCATCCTCCTGCCCTTTTCCAGGGTGGGGAGCACAGGTGCTCATTCCCAGGTCTGCCATCTTGAACTCCCCACTCAAGGGCCGGTGAACAAGCCATTATGGGAAGCCTGGTCTGTAGAGGCAGCTGGAGCTGCGGGGGGTGTGGAGTACTTAGGTGGGTAACGGATGAAGAGCCGATCCTCCTCTTTCTTCACCCAGCGCAGGAGTTTGGTCACTACCAAGATGGCCCCTGCCTTGGTCACCAGGGGGCTGAGGCAGGTATAGAGCTCAAATTTGGAGGTCACCTGTGGGTTTGAGGAGATAGCGTCAGCTGGGCCAGAGCTGGCCATGCCCAATCCTGTCCACCCCTCCCAAGCCCCATGCCTGTCTCCTGTTTGGAAGCCACACCTGGCAGCCCACCTGGCGCTGCTCTGTCACTGGGCTAACAGGTAAGCTGACATTGTGTCGTGCATGGCCAGGGCTTCTCAGCTGGCCCAAAGGATCAGCTGGATCTAGTGGCATCAAGTGGGTAATGCTGGCTGTGTGCGTGTGTACTTGCTCAGTTTGCTAGTCTACGGACTGGGTACAACAGCAACAGTGCTTAACATTTAATGAGCAACTGCTGTATACAGGTCCTGTTCTAAGTTCCACACACCTGTTTTCATCCTCTGTGACTTGGGCATAGGAGGATTAATTCAATTTAATCCTCATACCAACCTGACAGGCCTAATTTGATCAGTTCACTAAACCTTTCACGGCTCTCCCCCTTGCTCCTTCTGTTCCAGCTACACAATTTGCTGTTCTTCAAACATAACCTGGCTCCGCCCCATCTCAGCATTTTGCTCAATCCTTTCCTCTGCCAGGTGTACTCTTCCTCCAGGTACCCACATGGCTCACTGCCTCTCCTCCCACTTACATGCTATCTCCTCAGAGAGGCATCCCCTGGCCACCTGATTTAAAACCCTGGGCCTATCATATCTTGATTTGGAAATACCATTCTCCAATGGCTCCTTGAACAAAAGGTTGACTTCAGAGCTGGCAGAGAGAAAGTTCAAAATGAGCTTGGAACATCTTGTGCCAGGAAGTAAGATGTGCTTAAGCAGTGATGGGGCATGTCAGAAAACCTCAGGGGCCAGCCTGGCTAAATCACAGCTCCCCCTGGCTACATCAGACACAATTTGAGCACCAAAATTAATGACAGAAAAGGCATTTAGCCTACAGAGCTGAAGAAAAATCCTAGAGACCATACTGATACAAAATTTAAAACTCAACAAGCAAGTAGGAGGAGGAAAAGTTCTCCACACAATAGAATCACAACCAATAAATGTAGAACGAAGTCAGGAAAATCACCATCTGCTAATCACCAGAGATAATGGTTGCAGGCAAGAATCGTTAATGGATATTAGAAATAGCAGCTGAAACTATGATGAAAAACAGAACACTGACATAACCACCACAACATATTTACTCATTACAAAGAGGGAAAATACTAACTTTATAGTGGAGAAATCTGGCAGACACCGCCTTATATAAGGGATCAAAGTTAATGCCATCAGCACTGGGACCAACTGACACTGCTGGCCTCCTGATGTGATACAGAGAAGGGCACTTCTGTGATATTCTTGCTAAAAATGCATGGCCTCAGTTTAGTCATTATAAAATATCAAGAAAAACCCAAGTTGAGGAAAATTCTACAAACTAACTGGCTGGTACTCTTTAGTAAACAAACTGCCAAGGTCATGAAAACATTAAAGATTGAGGAACTGTTCAGAATAAGTGAGACTAAGGAGATACAATAAATATATTCAACAAGTGATCCTGGACTGGATTCTGGAGCAGTAAAAGGACAGTAGTGGGACAACTGGTGAAATCTGAAGCCTGTGGATTAGATATTACTGATGCTGCTTTCCTTATTTTTGTAAGTTCCTCTGATTGTGTTAACATCTGGAGAAACTAGGTGAAGGAACTATTTATAATAATTCTTTCTACTATTTTGCAATTTCTACGTCTAAAATTGCTTGAAAGCTAGAAAATGAAATAAAATCATCAGCCTAAAACAGTATCTGGTACACAGCAGATGTGCAATAAATGATTTAATAGATGTGCACTGAATGGCGGAGCCTGGGGGAAGGTGCCTTTCCCAGTGGGGTCCCCTTAACCAAATCCCTGAAGAGCTCACCTTTATTAGACCCATAGGAAGTGAGGACAGGAGCCCTGAAGAGACCCTAGGGCACGGTACCCCGAGTAGAAGGCTCAGCTTGGCACCATGCCTGTAGTGTCCAAGGAGTGCTGGGGACTCAGAGAGTCAAAACTGAACTGGTGCCTGCAGACCTGGGTGGGACTAATGAGAAGGAGCAGCACCGGAATGGTTCTTAATGGGGCCTCTTGAAAGTCAAAGACACTCTTCTCGCTGCTGATGGGGGAAAGGTGCAAAGAGAAGGCTGGAGCTAATGGAGGGTTGAAGACGCTGTGACTGATCTTTGTGGATCTCAAAGCCACCTGTGTAATGGCAGGGGCAGTGCTGGATTGCCCAGGCACAGGCATGGTGTGCTTCCTGGAGGCGGTGGAGGGAAGGAAGCTCAAACCGGGGAACTTAACCTCTCAGACCCGTGGGACTCACCCAGGCTAGCAGAGTCTCCTTCTCAGCCACATGGTAAATGAGGCGCAGGGGCCGGGAGGCGCTGTGCAGGCGAGAGTGCAGGCGGTGATACAGGTCGGACAGGCGCTGCCGCTCCCCCTCTCTGCTGTAGGGGTCCTCCAGCTCCGGGCTGCAGTGGGGGAGAGGCGGGACCAGGTCAGTCTAGAGCTTTCTTGGCTGGCCCATGTCTCCAGTCTGGGGAGTTCAGTTAAGGGAGGGAGCTGAGCCTCCCCCCATTAGACTGGAGACTTCTCGGTTTGTGGCCCAGCTTTCCCATCACACTAGGGGGTTCCTTGAGTACTAGGGCCCTCTTCTCCCCTAGAATAAGGGATTTATTCCTTGAGGCTAGTGTTTGATCCTCCCTCATCAGAGACCCATTCCATCTTTCTAAAGCGTGGCTGGTTCTCTCTGCAGAGTCCTATCTATAAAATGCTGAAATTTCCTCCCAGTTAAATAAGGCTTCCTGCCCATCCATAGGGTCAGGGCCCACCTGGTAAACTGAGGCAGCTGGCGGTGATGGTCAGGGATGTCCAGTGGCTTATAGAGAAAGTGCCGGAGGCCAGGTGCCCCCACAGCCTGCACACTGTAGGCGGGGGCATTGGTGGATGGGGCATGAGAGAAACTGGCCGCCTCCTCAAGGACACGCATGGCACCAAGGTTGTGCATGCCCTCTTCTACCAGGCGCCGGCAGGTGGCCATGTCATGGAAGGCCTCGGGATTGGTGCCAAGAAGCAGCAGGCAGACAGGTATTGCATCCAGGCGGGCCACATAGGCGTAGAAGAAACCGTCGGGGTTGAAGCGGGGCAGGCACACAGGTGCCCAGGCCTCCCCTGCTGCAAAGGCCGGTGCACCCACCCAGTCAAGCAGCAACTGCAGGTCGGCTGGGTCCAGCCGGCACTCAGCCAGCACGGTCCGCTCCTGGGCTGCTGTCACCAGTCGACCGCCAACCGCCAGCACTGACAGGGCCAGGCCAGGTGCCGTGCAACGTCGCAGCAGCGAACCCAGTGCATCCCGCAGTGGGCGAGCAAGGGGCACGCAGCGCACAGCGCCCAGGAGCAGCGCACCTGGGTCTTGCTCTACACTATCCAGAAGCCGGTCTAGGGTGCGCTCCGAGCCAGCCAGCAGGCGGCGCAGGTCGTAGTTCTGTTTGCGTGCAAAGATGCGGGCCACGCTTGCGCGAGTCAACGTGCTTACGATCTGTGCGTGAACAGCCAGCAGCTCCCCGCGTAGCTGGGCTGCGGACTGCGGAGTCCTTGACACGGCCACCAGCAGCAGTGGGCCCTGCTGCAGGAACACCAGCTTGTGGTCCTCTGAGAGGGCAGGGATGGGGCAGAAGGTAGAGATGGGTCAGGGGTGACCAGAGGGGGTCGGGTAGGGTTTTTCTGCCCTTTCCCCAAACACACACACTCCTGGGGAAGTTTGCACAGTCACTCTATGGACACTTGGACTAACGTAAGGACAAGCTCAGGGAGTTTGGACATTTGTAGAGACATGATGGGATGGTCAAGGAATCCGGTTAGACACACAGCACAGGTCTGGGAAAGAGGGAGCAAGGACTGACAGAGCCGGAAAGACACCCACACGGCCCCCAAAGCCACACTCTCACACAAACAATTATCCAGCCAGTCACTCAGATACCAGGGAGTCAATCACTCAGAACCTAGGAAGCCAGACATGGACCAAGTCCCAAACCCCCACCCAACAGATAAGAGGCCCAGCAGGCCATCCACACTCATTGACTCCCCCTGGCTGGCTGGATGATTCCCCGGGCAGACAGACAGACACACCTATGGCTAGCCAGCCACACTCCCAGTCACCATCCCCAAGCCTCATGCCCCTTGGCTCACCAGCGTAGATGGCGCGGATGGCATCTCCCGCACTCTGCACGAAGGACACGAGGGCTGTCATCACACCCATGGTAGCCGACAGTGCCTCCACACTACCGTACCTCGAGTAGATAGGCTTGCCTGCCTCACTCAGCACAAACACATGCTTCCGCTTGCTGCGCCAGTCCTCGTCACTGGGGTCCCCGCCCTGGCCCCCAGAGCCACTCTCAGGGTCACCCATGGGACTAGTTTCAGAGGCCGCAGGACCCCAGAGCCCACAGGTGCATGATGGAACCTCTGATGGGGTCTCTGACTGGGGCACTGGTGACAGCAGGTCGGGTGGCTGGTCCTTCGTCTCCGGTCCTGAAAGGGAACTCCAATGGGTCATCTGCTGGTGGACTGCCACTAATCGCTACCAGCCCCCAGTGATCTGTAACACTGACACAGACCTCCAGGTGTCTCCTCCTCCGCCCCTCCATGACATCCACACAATCTAATCTCTCACTCATCTTACTGAACCCTCCACGTCCCTAGACACCAACTATTCCCCTCTCAATACCTGCCATTCCCAAGACATCAAAGCACCCCATTGCCTCTGAATGGTCATTATATTTTCATCTCCAATGACCCATCATTAATACTTCTGACCTCTAATTAATTCTCTTGATATCTACTTATCCCTCAATAGCTATCATTACATCTACTAGTATCTGGGTCATGGAATGCCACCCTCTACCCTAACCCCTTATTTATTCTCACTGGTCCCTAATAACCCCACTGACGGTCCTAGTCACCCTTCTTTGTTCTTGGTGATGACTAATTCTCCCAATGACTGCCATGAATATTCACAAACCCAGAGCTTCAGGACTCCCCTAACTGACTATTTATACCCACTGCTGTTCACTAACATTCTAATGACCTCACATGAATATCACTAATACCTGGGCCTTTAATGGCCTTCAATGACTGCCCTGACCCATAATTAGCTCTTCTCCCCATCCACTCCATTCCCACCATTCACCTCCACTAATATCCAAGACTCCCAGTGACCTCCACTGATTCCTCTAGCCCTCTTTTATTCCATTCTCCCTTCTCCCCAGTGACCACTGTTAATCTCGACTAACACCCAGGACTTCTGTGACCTCTACTTGCTCCCTTGACTCCCCTTAATTCTCACTGATAACCAGTCCCCTCCTACAATAACTACCGCAATATATACTAACACACAGGATTTTAATGAGCTCCACTGCCCCTCCCCACAATCATCATTAACTATCACCAATGACATCTATGACCTCACTGCCCCTTGCCGACTCCCTGACACCTCCTTTCCCATGTACTCCCGTTGATGTTCACTGATCCCCCAAAGACATCCATTTTTATCCATTGATAACTATGCCTCAACAATTTTCCCATAAAAGCCCAATCACCTCACATTCCCTCATTCTCATTGACATTCACTAACCCTCTGTGCCCCCAATTACCAATTATCTCCTCCCAATGCCTGCAAATACTTGCCAATAATTCGCAAGTTCTCAGACACTCCCCCCCACAACATACATACACGGTTTATTCTCAGTGATGCCCACTGATCATTCCGAATGACTCCATTAATATCCATCCCCATTAATTACAAAGTAGTCAGTAAGCACTGATTTCCCAATGACTCCAATTGATTTCCCACTGAATACCTTTACATATCCACCTGGATCTTCAATGACCCTCCTACTGGTCCTCTGACTCTCCAAATCTCATTTGTGTCCACTGCCTCCCCAACAATCATCACTATTTAAACATTCACTAATATCTGGTTCCTTAAAGACTCCCTCCAACAACTCACCATTGACTCCTCAATGATGTAAGTACTCCGAATGCCCAATGGCCCCCACTGATGCCCTTTATCACAATGACTTTACACCCTCGTCCCCAAAGACACCGCCTTCTAAGTAGTCCCCCTTTGTTCCCATTAACTTTCTTTTGGTCATTCATTGACCTAAATATCCAAAATCCCCAACACCCCTCTTTGACCCCAACTGATCCCTTCCTGATTCCTCAAAAACCTAAACTCACATCAAGCCCCAGTGAACATCCATTAACACCCACTGATTCCTCAATGATGTAAACTACACCATGAATCCACAAGGACCTCCGACTGACAGTTACGGTTTAAGCTACTTCCTTGGTTCCCAAAGACTCCTCATTGGTTCCCCCTACAATTACACCCCCTAGGGATTCCTTCCAAGACCCGAGTGAGCGGAAGGCACACCTGTTCCCTCCAGGCCCGTGTCTCCAGGATCCAGCGGGTTCTCGTGCATCCCTCCACCGTCTCCAGCCTCCTCACTGGGGAGCCGCGCGTCTTCCAAGTCCTCCGCGTCCCCGGGGGCTGGGGCAGCAGTGTCTCCTCCGACCTCCATCTGCTCATCCCTGTGGGGAAGAGGAAGTGAGGGTGACGGTAGCAAAAGAAACTTCTTCAGGGCGTTTACTGAGCTCGGCCCCCTTGGACCCTAGTATTTGTTTTCCCTCGGGTTTCAACAGGATGACACATTCAAAAACATGTCCAAATACTTGCACCCTCCAACACTTTCCGAAGAGGGAGTCTCAGGAAATAAAGAAACATAAACACCTGTTTCAACCCTGTGACTCATTGGGTAGGTACCATTACTTCCCGTCGCCGCGGTGCCATCACACTTCCGGGTGCGGTGCTGTTCTGAAGACACTTCCGGTGGCGAAGCCGTCTTTATTCTCTCTCCGCGGCATCCGAACCCACTGTCCCCCCGCCCGCTCGCGTTCCCTCACCGTTGAGATGGCGCACGCCACTCCCGGGTTTCTGTCGGACCTGGTTGGGAATCCAGCCGTCCCCCTCTGCAGTCCTTCTCTCAGCACCTGCTCGCACAGCTAACGCACGGGCGGGGACCCTTCTCTTACAGAAGGCTGTCAGCGTGAGGGGGCGCGGCCCACGTTCAGCCAATCCGGAGTATGGAGGGCGGTACAGCCTCCCTCAGGGCCCAATCAGAAGATGCCGACTCCCGCGGGTCCGCCCCAACCCTCGCGTCTTATCTCTACCAATACTGTGCGTTAGACTGCTATTGCACCCGCTCATGCCTTGACTGACATCTCCCCGGACCCAATCGAGTCTCGAGCCCATTCCTCTCTTCGCCCGAGGTCGTTCGTAGCCTAAATCTTGTAAGATACCTGTGACGCGCTCGCTCAGAATTGAGGCAGCTTGCCTCCCTACCCACCAGGAAAGGCTGGAGAGTGAGGGTGGAGTGGAGTTTGGGCAGAGAGGAGTGCTTGACGGACAGTTCTTGTTTCCAATTGGAGGGCCGTGCGCAGCCCAGCCAGCCTCTGAGACGAGGCTGCTAGAGCGAGAGGCGGGCCTTTCAGAAGTAGAAAGTATTCGTGGGTCTCTGTGTCAACCAAGCAAAGGACTCACGGCTGCTGGAAAAAGGAAAGCGCAAGCCGCGGACATGCTTATGGCTCAGGGGAGTGAGTTTGCGAAGGCAATGTGTTGGCTGACCAGGGCTTGACCAGACAGGCAAAAGGCCGAGCGGACCTCACTTCGGAAGACAGGTTCTGTGGGCGGAGCTATGCAGCTTAAGAGCCCTAGCAACGGGGGCGTGCATGTGGGCGTGCCCCTGAGAGGCTTCTGAGTCCTCGTTGGTTGAGGAAAATGCCCCTCTGGCCTCTGCAGGCCACCATTGGCTGGGCGAGGGGAGACGCAACTGCCGCTTGAACCGGTCCGCTGGAGGTTATCCACGGTAGTTTTGCATGAAGGGAGCAGCGTTTGGGCGTCATCCCAGGTAGCATCAGGTGGTCCCAGCCTACAATTTTAGTGTGCTGGTGAGCGCGGGTTTGGGCCCGCCGGCTGTGGGTTCTCCTTTGCAACGAAAGTTTCTGCCTGCGACTCCCTGTCTGTCTCTGAGTCTCTCCGTCTCAGGGTGTCCCATTTTCGGTGTGTATGTCTCTGTATCTCCGTGCGCCCTCATGCCTCCCTTCAGCTCTATCCCTGCGCCTTTCACTATGTCTTTGCATCTCTCAGTCTTTCTTCAGTTTTCTCTCCTCCAGTGTGTCGCGTTCGCTCTCCTCGTCTTTGTAGCCCTCACATTTCTCTCTCGGGGTCTCCGGCTTCCCACTCTCTCTCCCTGGTAGCCGAATGGCGCCGCCCGGAGGCCCGCGGGCCAGCGGAGTGGACTCCCTCGCTCCATCCCGCGCAGGATTCCCATTTACTCTGGGAATCTTGGGAGAAATAGACCAGGATCACTCCCTCCCCAGGACGCTGCGGAGTAAACTCCGCGCCTCCACAACAGGAGTTCCCTGAGTTGTGACTCCCTTTCCCTCGGCATGCGGTACAAAATCCCACGGTCCTTGTCACATCAGCAAGAATATCCTTTTTCATAAATCAACATCACCAGGTAGATAAACCAACTCTTCCCACATCCGTGTTCCCTCCAAAATACAAGACATTAAAAAACGGCTCTAGCCGGAGGAGCGGAGTGAGTTTCTGGAGTCCATTGAATCCTGGTGAAACAGCAAGACCCTGAACTCACACAAATACTCGTCAGTGAGGATCAAAGCAACTGAAGGGTATCTTTATTCATGTATATGACTGCTAAGAGTGATTGTGTCTACACCCCAAATTGGGCATCCTCAGTGAGACCTTTCATATTTGCGGTGCGTTGGCCGGCATCCTGACACTTGCTCTCTGCCTCCTCTGCATGGACACCTCCATACTGGGCCCCATCTACAAGCCCAGGAAACAGTTCCTTTCTAGGCACATTTTCTTTCATGAGGTCATTAGAACATGATGGTCCCAGGACTTAACAATCATGTCTAGTTCTATTCTTGTGTGAGGATACCTTGAGACTCTGGAACTGACAACCCCTAAACCACACTAGGAATTTGTGCCTAACTGGATACACTGTGATGACGACCCCCATGCTATGTGTTCTTTTCCTTCTGGACTTCCTGAATGTCAGAAATTGAACTTGAATACATAGAGTGGTATTTGGGTAGGAAGAGGAATGCAGCTATAAGCATAATTGTGTAGCTGTGTAGCTGAGACTGTCTCAGTTGTACGTGCAGTGCAGGAATATTTACTACTTTCATTTCCCTACTACCTGCCCCTTCTTGCTGTTATGTGTTCCTTCTATCTTTTCTGTGCCCCCTCACCTTGTTCCAAGCGTTCATCTCTAATTTGTTTCGCTGCTCCCCATTTCTACTTTTTGTTCCCTGCCCCATCATGCTGTTCTCTGCAATGTCTCCCCAATCCTTGCTCCCCTCTGTTCTTTGCCCTGTCTTCCTCTACCTTGCCACTCTTCTTGTCTCTGATCCTCTGCTCTTATTAAATTCTCCAGATTAGGTTGGGAACAGGAATTGGAAGAAGAGGAATGCTGATCTTAGTTGCATGGACACTTCTTTATCAAATTCTTCAAATAGACTTCCACAATGAAAGGACTGCATACTTTCCTGGCTACATAGTTTTGAATGGAACATTCCTGCCCTGAGTTCATCATGTGCAAAAATCGAGCAAGATCAGCCCCTGACTACGCTATGGGACTGACCAATGAAACTACACATTTGAGCCTTCTGCACTCCACTCTGTTTCACTCAACAGGGGGCAGTCCCATTCGCAAGTCTACCATCCTTCCCAAGCCAAACTACTTCAAATTTCTAAAATCCTCGAATCTACTAATTTACCAAATCCTTAAACACACCCTAAGTAATCAACCTTCATAAAACACTCACTATCTCCAATTCCAAAATCTCAAAGACTATCCCTCCCCCAAATCTGATTATCTCTCCCAAACCCCATCCTCACCACACCCAACAATGTTTCCAAAACTCTCAAACTCTTCAAACCCAAGAAATTGTCCAACAATCATCCCAAATACCCCAATATCCATGAACCTACTTACATCCCTAAAGTCACCAACCTTCCAAAAATCCATGAACCTACTTACATCCCTAAAGTCACCAACCTTCCAAAACACCAACCTCCAAAACCAAACACACCAAAGCCTCAGCCTCCCCAAACTCACCAATGTCCCATGCCCATCAGTGTCCCCAAGCCCAACAGTGTCCCATGCTCATCAACTGCCCCAAGTCCACCCCTATGCCATTCAACCTCCCTAAACCTGCAAATTTCCTGATTCACCACACTGCCAGGATACACCCACTTGCTTAAACACACTAAACTCTCCAAAGCGCTAGCCTCCCCAGTGGCATCAATATTTCCAGATTTTCCAAGTTCCTCAAACTCCAAATTCTCCATGAGGCTCAAATCCTCATGTCCACTTAATTCTCCAAAGCCACCAATACCATTACCTTCAAGTTTATAAAGACCTGAACCAATCCATTAAATTCTTTAACCCCCAAATGGCTGATTTCTTCAAAATTATCCAAATATACCATTGTCCCCTAATCCCATATCCTCCACAAAGCCAAAATCCCCAAGCCCATCATCACTTTCAAACCCACAATCACTCTAAACCTCCTGCCTTCCTCAAATCAACATATAAAAACTTCCCCAAAACATGAACTCTCCAATTTCTTAAAGTTGCTGCTCTCTCCCAGCGAGAAAACCTCCCTAACATACAATTTGCCCATATATACTAGTCCCCAGAATCTACTGGACTATGAATGTCATCAGCCTCTACAGAATCAATCCAGTCAAGTCACTAAACAAACAAAAAAGCCCCACAACTACAACCCCCTTCAAGGTGGGAGTAGAATCCAAAGTTAGTACAGTTCACTATAAAATGCAAAATTTTCAATAATGCATGCAAAGAAATAGCAACACATACCTTATGCACCAGAAAAAAAAATCTATCTTTAGCAATGGTCTCTGACAGGGTTGAGATGTTGGACTTGGCAGAAAAAAACTTCAAAGGAGGTATTATAACTATGCTTTAAAAACTAATAGAAATTGTGCTTAAATAATTAAAGAAAATACAATCACATGACTCAGAAACTAGGTAATATGAATAAATAAATTGAAATTATACATATGAACCTGTATGGATATCAGGAATTTAAAAAGTACAATAACTGATATGAATAATTCACTAGAGAGGTTTAGCAGTAGATTTGAGTTAGCAGAAGGAAAAATATGCAAAACCGAAGATGGAGATTGCCCAGCAGATGAACAGAAAGATAAAAGAATGTAGAAAAATGAACAAATCCTAAGACTTCCTTGGGGAACCATTAAATATGCAATGTTAGTTCCATTGACTAACATTGGAGAGGGAAAGAGAAAGAAAAGTTTAATGGCTAAAGGCTCCTCGTATTTGAGGAAAAGTATTAATACATGAATTCAGGAAGCTCAACAAATTCAAAATAGCTTAAACACAAAGATAGACACACCTAGATATTGCAGACGAGATACATCTAGTCTAGACCACTGTTCTAAAATGTCCCCTTTGGTGGTCGGCTGAGACACTCCACAAAGTTTCTGTGGGCCTCTAGAGCTCCTCGGAGAGTAAATAGTTGACTGCATTCTATTTCACCTTTTGGGCATATCCACGAAGGGAATACAGGCTGCCGATGGGTTCATAAACCAAATGGAATCATTCTTCTTAGTTTCCTTTACTCCTGTCACTACCTCCATCTGTCCTTGAATTCCATTGCTTTGTTTATTCTGTTTAGAGCCTGCTTTTTATTTTGTTTCTACACTTTAACGTTTAAAATTTGGAATCATTTTAGATTTACAGAGAAGTTGGAAATTAAGCATAGAAAGCTCCTGTATACCTTCCATCCAGTTTCCTCAAAGTTACCAACACTATGAATTAATATTGGTACATCGTTACGAGCTAAAATCTAAATTTCGTTTGTGTTTTATCAGTCTTGATATCCATACCCTTTTTCACTCCCCTGATCAAACCCAGGATAACAGATTACATTGGGTCTTCATGTGCCATTGATTTTCCACAATATAGGGCAGTTTTC